AAAAAATGTTGAAGATTACACTATATTTTCAATACTAAGAAAAGAATTTGATATATATATATTAAAATTAACGAACTTTTTAGGGATATTTTCTAAGTTAAAGCATACAAGTAATATTAAAAATACAATATTTTATAACTAGAACATGGGGACACGGGACAACTGAAAGGGAATATCGAAGATGTTTTTAGTGAACTGGACAATGGGGGTTAAAGGTTGCTCTTCTTGTAAGAAACTCCAAAACTCTATTGCTAAGGGTGAGTTAAGATCTAATAAAATCAGTTCAAGATGATTTATGAGACCCCCATAAAATGTGTTTAAGAGAAAATAACTTGAAATGTTCAGAAATATTTCAAAAATTAGGAGAAAAAGTTGAATCCCAAAAGAAAAAGTTCATTATATAGAAAATGCACTTTGCTATAGAGAGGTCATATTACGATGAAAATCGTGAAATGTTCGAGGTTCCAGGAAAAAGTTCGCTATATAGGAAAGTTCACAATTTACAGGTTCGTTATATAGAGGTTCGACTGTATAATAATAAAAAGCTGAGCCACTCACACCCTTGAGCTTCAAAATGAAAAGATCACACATGTCGGAGATCAAATATTTCTTCAAGCTCCGTTTGGGGTCGACTGGCGACTCAAGAGACCACTGGGGGAGGGTGTCTAATCAGAGATAGGCAAACCCCTCCCCCACCCTCACGCAGTTACAGATGTCTCGATAGACCCCCCCGCAACGTCATCACAGCCTGTCCCGACGTCTCACTGTTTTTTAATCCGATAGAATCTCGCAAAAATTTAAACTGTAAGAGCCTAACTCGATTTCTCCTCTCGCGAACAAGGATGCGAGAAGGCAGCTCGTTTGAAAGAGTCCCTGTGCCTTCGCGAGTGTTTCATCATTCGAAATGTTATTCTGAATTTAAGATGCGTTCCAATAACTCCGTACTTTCAAAATATTGATACATATTGCTTATGATTATGGCTGTTGTGCGCTCACAAAACAAATGATCTTGTTCTTTGCATTGGAATACTAGAATATTTTGCATACCTTTGATTAAAATGTATGGTAATTTTGCTCTTTTTTTCCCGAGTGGTGTTTGAATTGGGTAGCTGGCTATTGGCAATGGTTTGGAATCAATTTAAAAAATAAAGAATATATATATCTAACAGAACAATATTATTTTTATATGGAAAAAAATCACTAAAAACTATTTTCACGTAAAATTTGAATTTTGTTTGTTTCTCAGGTGAAGAAAGATTTGCTGGACAGGAAAAAAAAAGAGTCCAAAACAGAGGTGCTCAACTCGCGGCACGTGTGCCACAGTGTGGCCGTGGCTGAGTTTTAAGAGACATTCAAAAATTTAAAAAATTTAAAAGATAATAATAATTATTTTTTTAAAGTTTTATTGAAAGATAAAACAAAACATCAAAATATGTTTTAAATATAAATTAAATTACAATAAAAATATTACAATGAAGACAACGCTCCTTCATTATTGCGTGCGTTGGTTTTCTCCGAAGGAAGTGCGTTCGTGAGATTCTGGAATTTCAGGGAGCATGTTTTAAGATATTTTTAAGATAGCTGGAAGAAAACAATGAATTGACCAAGGAGAGTGTTTGCTTCTCAAGAATGAAGATAGGCTTTGAGACTTAGCTTTTCTTACCCCCTCGATAGTATGACATTTAAGTGATCTAAATTTAAGAGAATACAAGAAAAAGATTGTTCTTTTACAATCTTGATGGATCACATATCTTCTTTTGTGAACAAATTTTTTGCTTTTTTGTATCAATTTTGGGGGGAAAAGAGAGTTAGATGCACACATAAAAATACTGGATTTTGTTAGCATCTTTGAGAACTAATCCTCATGTACAAAATCTACAAATTGATTACCCAGTAAAAAATTTACAAAATAAAAAATCACATTAAGAAGTGTTGGAGACCTCAAATCTTCTTAATATCACAATTTTGAGATTGTTACATTTTCAAATTGTGTAGATTTTAACCTTTATAAAAATTCCTTACTTTATCCTCTAAGATAATTAGAACCCCTTAAAATTTATTTTTAATTAATCATTTAAAGTGGTCCACGCCCATTTAAATGGCGACGAAAAGTAAACAAAGTACTTTGTTTTTGCTTAAAAGTTGAATGAATGATGTAAATCAAAGCATTTAATTTAGAATTTCTTTAAAAAAGTGTAAACAAAGTAAGATGGTCTCGTGTACCGAAGAAAATATTTGTACAAATAGAAATATTATCATTGGGTACACATGATGCAATTTCATCATTTAATATAGAAAATGTATCAAAACCATAAATTTTGAGAAAACTTAATATTGAGCCCAGTGGTACAGGCAATGGAGCGCCTCGACAAACAGAGGATATTAAAGGTTAAATACTCATCTTTACAAAAAACAAAGGAAGTTAAGAAAGAAAAGACTTAAAAGTAAGGGATAGAGGCTGATGAGATTTAAAAAAATGTTGATCATTTGGAGTATGGGGTGGAATGTTTTAATAAAAAAGTAATTATGCATTAAAATTCATTTATCTCAAAATGTAACTTTTTGATTTTCTCTATACCTTTTTTGGTAAAATAATGTTCACAGGTATGTAAGATCTTGTGACATGTTTATAACAATGACTAACAGATACTGAAATGAGCCTTTTGTAAAAAACTCAAACATTTATTTTTTGCAAATTTTATGTGAAAAACGAATCAAATTTCACTATGTTTGATAAAATGCTTTATAAATTATGAAAAAATTCAAAATTACCTAAAAATCTCATTCCAGTATAATGAGAAAGGTGTACTTTAATTGTTTGAAAAATTTCAAGCATGTTCATGTAACAGATTTTGATAAAAGATACATCGAAAACAACCAATTTAACATTGTCGGTATAAAGGTTTCCAACTCCAGTTTAATAATTATTTAGAATTAAATTTTTCTGGTTAATCATTTTTATTTTATTCCTAACCCACTTGTTTAAATCTGAAGAGAAAATTTAACAATAAAACTTAAAAGTTGGCACTTTTATCTTATTTATATATTTTTTAAATTTTTAATACTTAGATTTGCATAAAATATGTGATATTTGCGGGAAAATTCCATAAAAGCCTATATTTCATCTTTTCATATTCTTTTGTTTGTTGAAACAGTTTGAATTGACGCGCATAATTTTTTTTTATCAGATAGTGGCACTCTTCTCAGAAAGGTTGGCCACCCCTAGTCTAAGACAACACGGAGTAAGCAGAAGTGACTTTGGCAAAAAATGTGGTCAACAAGTGTTGCCAAATTTGGCAATAGTTGTCTGCACAAAAGTCTACAAGTTTCTAGAATGATTATTTAACAACAAAATTTTAATAACTTGTAGAAATTTCTTTCCAGCAAATATAAGAGAAGCAGCATTGAAATCAAAGCATGATAACGAATTTGTGTTTCAATGGCCTCATTCTATATTATGTTTTGATTTGTATTGTTGCATAGACTTTGAATTTGGGCTATTAGAGAATTCACGTGCTTTGATTTTTTCTTGTTTCAAAGTGAATATTTTGTAATTACTGGAAAATTTAGAAATGAAATATACTCAGAAGGAACCTTTTCAACCTTATTACTTATTTGAAAGGATCTTTTTTTTTGTATTTGAGAAATGATCAACTACGCAATACTATCAAATAAATATTCTTCCGATTTCGAATCTTTGTCTTTCATCCTGTTGGAAGAAAAATAATGGATAAGCACAAATCACAGTGCAACTATTTGGATATATGAGTTTCTATAAAAAGTTCTATGTACAATGTGTATATTTCGGTACTTGGGAATACTCGAAATATAACCTTAATTTATCCCATAACTTTAAGCCCTTTGAATTATGACTTGTTGAAATCTTGCTTTCACCATACTAAGCAGGATATTACATTAAAAACTCGTATTTCTTACTTTAAATTGTAATGTTAATCACAACATGTGAGATAATAATTTCGAATATTCCGTTCCAAATCGACGCAGTCTGTAATCATAACAAATCACAAACTCGATCGCGACTCACTCTATTAAACTGTAAAGATTAACTGGATTGTGTAAATGCAGAACTCTTTAAAGTGAATGAAACTTATTCTAATGAAACTCTAAATATTAACTGGGTCGTGGTAACTGTTGGATTTTCTCTATCAACAGCTCCCCCCCCACTCTTACTTCATTTCGCTCTATATACAGTATCTCATTGACATAACACGTTACTTCTGCAAGAAGAGAGAGAAGACAATTAATACTTGCAGTAGCACAAAAGAAAACCTTCTCGAAAGAAAAGCATCGCCAAATAGCCCGATGCAAAATTATGTTTATCATATTTGTTTTCTCGAGTGGTTATTATTGCCGCACTATAAACCAACCCGAGGCCTATTGGCGACGACCTCGAAACATTAAACCCTGGTCAAGTGACGAGGACGACACCTTGGTCTCTCTTGACTACCACACCACGCCCTAGGGAGGCTATTGAACCTGGATAGATTTAACGAGCATCAGCCCCTCTACCAGGATGGGCTTTAGTGGCACTAGGGCTTGAAACCGCGATACGCCGGCCTTAAGTTCGTGACCATAACCACTAGGTTACCACAGCCATTTTGTTTTTTTGATAAAAGAGTATAATTTATTAGCCTTACAACAAACCGAGTCACCACATTTTACAGGGGAAAAACAAAGTCATCTTCTTTGTAATATATAAAAATAGACAAGTAATATAAAAAAAAATTACGTCCATTCCTACTTAGGTCAACAATGAAAAATCTTATTTTATTGCACAGTTACAATTAATATAAATATGTATATACATAGGACAGTATCACACTATTAAAGTGAAAGATTAGAAAGCGATTTTCCTTGCAATTTACCATTTTACTTTCTATATAGGGTGTTGGACTATTTTTTTGTTTGTTCCTATTTATTCATTAATGAAATTTAATTATTCTAATAAAGTAGTACAGTAAAAATGAAATCACATTCGAAGAAAATAGAGATTCGAACCCATGACCTTTGGATTACAAGTCCAACGCACTATCCATTGCACTACAGGGACAACGACTGATTTACCTTTCTATATCGGATGTTGGATTATTATTTTTAATAGTTACTATCTATTCATTTTTAATTTAATTAATGAGTTAATACTTGAAGAAATTGTACCACCATTAAATGTCATCCACTACAAGTTTGAAAAAATGTATTTGAACTTGAATGGGTGACTAGAAATTTTATTATTAACGATTGAAAATTTGAACAAGATATATATAAATATAGGGAGAGGGTGAACTAATGGTAGGAACTGAAAAAAACCTTAACTCGGTGAGAGCTAAACGTTTATACTATGATATGGATGTCAGTAATAAGATACGTGTTAGTTTATCGAACTGTATTCATTGTGGAGCCTAGTGTTTATGGTCACGAACTCGGAGCTGGGGTGTCACAGACTCCAGTACTGGTGCCACTGAAGATCCACCAAGTAGAAGGAACAGAGGCACGTTAAATCTGTCGAGTTTCAAAGTCTCCCCTTGGCGTAGAGTTGTACATTACAGAGGGGAGTACAGTTCAGATGTTGACAGCGGTTCAAAAGGACGAGTTTTGTCGCCAATAGCTCACGTGTTTCTTTATCGTGCGACGTTAACGTAATTCACTCCCCCGCGAACGTTCATTGGGACTTTTTAATTGTCTGCTAATGATAAACAAGCTCCTTCGCCAGTATAGAGTGACTGTGATATAACTCGAACCTATTGTGGACCCTTAGGCCAGTCAAAAAGTTCTTGGGAAAGTATATTGGCAATCTATATTCTGCGCTCGCATCAATTCTGATCTATAAAGTTTTTAGAAGTTGAAAGTTTAGTGAAAGGTTTTGAAACATTTTATACACTTGAAATAATTCATCCGAAAAAAATAATATAACTATTATAAAATACATTTCATGACTTGATAACAGTTAAAAAACAGCGCCTTTTCGTTTTATATTCCTTTTTCGATAAGACCTGAAACATTTTCAATTCTTTATTATACAAAAAGTGAAAATATATATCCGCAAAGTGAACTTGGAAAGATTTTTTTTAAAAGTGAGATAGTTTCATAGGTGAAGGAGTGGTCAGTTTTCAGGTTGTGGACAGCTTTTAGAGGTCATGGCACGTGCGGGATCCCTCCCTCCCACCTCCCTTATCGAATCGGAACGCCCTGGATGTGCAAACGGAAAAAGAAATTAGGCGTTATCCCTGCACTTTCCTCTCAAACATCTAAAAAATTTCCTGCCCCTTTTTTCCCAAAAGAGAATCTCTCTCTTTTTTTTTTTTCACTTCTTCTTGCTCCCTCCCTTCCATTCGAACGAACGAGAACTGAATTTCGAAACAGGTCTTTTCATCCCCCTCCACGGCATTATCGAAAAGAGAAGTCGATTTATATCAACAGTATAACGGATATAATCGGAAAATCTCCAAGAAAAGAAAACAAAGTGGAAAAATAGGATGGAGTGGGTACGAAGGCAAAAAAAAGACAGAAATGTCGCCAAACGATAAAAGAAATATAATAACGAAAAAAAAATCCTGCGAAATAAGGAATTTAAAAGTGTCCCCTTTTTGCGAAGAATAGAACAAAACCTTTCGATCGAAAAGAGATGGATATTAATCTAGCCAAAATGTCGCTTTTTTTAGAGTTGTATATCAACAAAGAGCGGGATTCAGTGTGAGAATGAGTCTATTTAACTAAAATATGTGAAAGAAATATCCGATATTGCCGATGGCTGGGTGAGAGAAAAACAAAACTTAGGTAAACGTAATCAGTATTTTTCCAAGGATATATATTTGTATTTTTTCCTTATTTCAACAGCATAAAAAGACATTTTACATGTTTGTATTGAAATGAAAATTTATGAAAAACCAATGTAAACACCATTTTATTTCGTTGCAATTCCCCTCCTGATCAGCAACATCTTCAAAGCAGGATTGTTAACCTGACATTACGCTAATCAATGTATTAAGTTACTCCAATAGAAAAAAATATTGCTGACCACAGACTTAAAAAATGGTCGAGAATAATGCGTCAGAACTGATAATTCTATTCTCTCTTCTAAGGAATTTAAAAATCAGCTCAACTTAACATGAGCAGCAAACCACTTTAAATCAAAGGATAGTATTTTTAAAGAATCTAGACTAAAACATGGGACTTAATTTGAAAGTAATTGCCAAAAAACCACACTCTTAGCAACTGGCTATCATGAATTTCCCTTAAGAGTATTTCATTTTACCAGCTATGAAAAAAAGTAAGGTTTTAAAAATATATTGTAGACTATTAAATATTGATATGAATATTATCTGGAGGATTTTAATTCATTTAGATGAAAAAAGAAAACTCATGAATTATCGTGCTGTCAAGAAGATGCTCTCAGAAGACATCCATTACCAAGGAATGTAAATTAGAGGAGATTGTTGCATTTTTACAACTTTTTACGAGGGAAATCTTCACAGAGGAATAGGAGAAAGTAGGAAAATTCCCGTCTGTGGAAGAATTTACTGGTGTCGAAAGGATACCTCAAGAAAAGAGGTTTTGCACCTCCTCTTCCACCTTTTTCCTGACAAAATACAGCATTTTTAGTGATCAGTGGTCCCCAACCGTGCGCCATCTGAAGGACATTAAACTATTTCCATTTTATTTACTGTGATGAATTTTTCTCAGATGTGTGGAAATCACTTTACATTTCCTTTATATTCATTTTGGGGTAACTGTATTTAATTATAAATTCATATTTAAATATAATTAAATTAAAATTATTAAACCAAAATAATACCTGGAATATAAACAATCAACGTCCAATCCTCAGTGGGCCGTCTTAAAATTTTCTAACATTGAAACGGTCCGCGGCGATAAAAAGGTTGAGGAGCATTGATCTAAATGGTGAAGTCATTGCTGAAATTACCCAAAATGTTCCACGAACAAATCATGAAATATCTGAGCCCATTGTATTATCATTCAAGGAAAATTCTTTTGTTGTTTGGGTATATAATGCTCATGAATGATTATTAATGGTCTTGTTGATTAATGGCCTTTTCCCCTTAGTTATTAATTTCAATTTGACCAGAAGAACCAATCCCGCAAAATTCGAACTATTCACACCATCATATAACAACTATCAACTTGCATTGTACCTTGTTGACAACTCGGATTCATGTCATATTATCAACTCTTATCAACTGAAATCGTAAATTATCTGACCAAGTAACATTTGTCTACTCAACTAGCACCCAACCAATATGTTCCTGAGTCTAACCCCCAACAGCGTAATGTTAGTAAAGGCATTCAAATCAGTTTCAAGCTGCCATATCCCATCAACTCCAAGAGGGCTGTGGTAGCTTAGTGGTCAAGGTAACGGCGTGTCTTGAGTTCAAGCTCAGTACCACTGAAAACCGCCGTGTAGGGGAGCGATGCACGTTAAATATATCGAGAGACCAAACGTCCTGCCACCATAGTTAAAAGAGGGGGTGCCAACTCAGGTATCGTCCTCGTTACTTGATCATGGTTCAAAATGACGAGGTCAGTCACCAAAAGCCTTCGTGTAGCTGAACAATGCGACAATAATATTCACTTACTCACCCATCAACTCCAAGATTCTCACCTCACTATCACAAATGTCGTACGACCCCCATTAATTGTTGTGTTGCTGTTTAAGACAATGTTGCTTGTCTCATAACTTTGACTATTTTACGTAGATGTTGCTGGTCACGGTCATTAAATAGACGTAATTGGTCAATGTGTTGCTCATGGGGCGAAGTAATACCTGAAATTATATATTCTTGACATTGTGAATTGAGGAATGTTAAACCCCTTAACAATTTAATAACTGGAATACCCAGTATGTCTAACTCCAAATGCCACTCCGGATTCACTTTTAATTACTGCCGTGTACTCATCTCGTCAGAAAATTTTTCTTATGAATCAATAGGACTTAAATGAAAGTTCTGACAATGCACTGCACATTTCTACATTTCCTATGCGATAATATTGCATTCTGAATATTGGCAGGCCATGACTTTTGACACCTCAGCGTATTGTTTCAAAAGTGTGCTAAACAAAATTATTTACGATAAGACTCATTTTTTTCTTCCCCGAATCTTCAATTTCTAAAGACTCCTCAACAATTTAACTTAGCCATTTAAAGCGAGAAAGGGCAGAAGTAGACAGTGTAGCTATCCGTTCTCCTACAAGTCGCAAACAGCAAAGAACAAAAAAAAGTGCTTAATGATTGGCTCAAGTAGGGATTCCTTTTCGTCCCAGTCGTGTAACGCGTGCACAGCGTAGCTGTGGAAAGACAAGCTAGTGGTTCACACAAAACAATCATGCTAAAGTCAGCAGCTTCTGTCGAAGTGTTGACCCAGAAAGTGAGCACATTGGATGGCTACTTGATTATGTACTCCAAGCTGAGTCTGTGACATTATCAATGTATCGCGACTAGTGATTCACAGCGGCTACAGTACACGAGTCAACCAGAATCGCCATCTCAACAAAATATTGCCCCCGGAAAATGGTTCCAACGACACTCAAAACCTCCTGGGGATGAATATGGATGGCAAAAAGAGTTGTAAAATAAATTTCTCTATGTGTAGCAAAGAAAGTCCATCCACTTCATAAGCCACACTCTTATCTAGAAGGGGGGTATGCAGCCACCCCTCCTTCTTCAAGTCACAACCAACAAAGTAGAGGAATAACAACTGGCCTGAGCGGGGATTCCTTTCCCTTGTTTAATGTCTGTTCAGGCGTAGCTGGGCACCGTTATTTCAAACAAAACCGTAGTTAACCCCCGAAAAAGTGTAATGTATTGAATAGTAAGACAGGATTTTACTGATAAATTGCATATTATAAACATCTGTAATGCTTTTTCTGTTTTTACAAATTGCTGTTCTCACAGAATCACAGTTACAATAAAAGAAAAATAAGCGATGCATATTGAGGGAATTCCTGCATCTAATTTTTTTATTTTTTGCATATGAATAACCAGTTATTTTATCTTAACGCATCCTTGCCGTATTTGTATGAAAACTCTCA